AAGTATGAACAAAATCTAGTCTGGCAAACAGAAAAGGAAAGGCAATACAGACAAATAAATTTTAAGAACTCATTCCATTGTAGAGAGAAATAAGCAGGAATCTGCTAAAAACTCCAAGCCTTTGGTTTGGTTAAGAATTGACCCCCCCCCCCCCACATTAGTCAGTTGCAGCGCCAGGGTTTTTGGACAGGGTCATGGTTAGATAATGCATTAAACAGAGCTTTTGGTGGCACTTTGTCAGGTGGATTTGTCAGGACTGGAGGCAAGGAGAGTAGTTAAACACGGGGGCTCTTAACCAGGAGACCTGGAGCCCCTAAAGGGCTTAGGGATATATTTAGGAGGTCCTTGAACTTGAATGAGGAATCCTTACATTATTATTCACATTAATCTTATTAAATATAGGATTTTTATCACTTATGAAGATAAGTGTACCTGCTTCACTGTGATGACTAGAAACTATAGATGTATTCATACTGCATTCCAGTTCTTACAGGTATCATAATATTTTTTCTTTTTTTCTCCCTTCCTTCCTCCCTTCCTTCCTCCCTCCTTCTTCCCTCTCTCCCTCCCCTTTCCTTCCTCCTTCCCTGCCTCCCCCTTTCTTTCTTTCTTTTTCTCTTCTTGCAGTAAAAACACACAACATAAAAATCTACTGTCATAACCTTTTTAAAAAACCGATTTATCTACCTATTTATTTGAGAGGGAGAGAGAGAGTTGGGTGAGGGACAGAGGGAGAAAATCTTCAAGAAGACTCTCCACTGAGTGGGAAGCCCAACTTGGGACTCAATCTCAGGACCCACGAGATCACGAACTGAGCCAAAATCTAAGAATGGGATGCTTAACTGACTGAACCACTCAGTCATAACCACCCTTGTCATAACCATTTTTTTGTGTATAGCTTAGTAGTGTTAAGAATGTTAACGTTGTGGAATAGATCTACAAAATTTTTTCATCTTGCAAAACCGAAATTCTATACTCATTAAACAGAAACTCCTCATTTCCCAATTCTCTCAGCCTCTGGTAACCACATTCTTCTTTTGGTTTCTATGAACTTGACTACTCTAGATACCTTTTGTAAGTAGACATACAGTTTTTTATGACGGGCTTACTTTACTTAACAAATGTCATCCATGTGGCAACATGTCATAATTGCCTTCTCTTTTTAAGGTTGAATAATGTACGTGTGTATGTCTGTGTGTGTGTGTGTGTGTGTGTGTGTGTGTGTGCGTGTGTACCACATTTGTTCATGCATTCCTTCATCAATGAGCATTTGGGATATTCCCCCTTCTTGGCTATTATAAATAATGCTACTATAAATATAAGTGTGCAAATAATGATTTGAGACTCTGCTTTCAATTCTTTTGGATATATACCATGAAGTGGAGTTGGTGGATAATATGGTAGTTCTATTTTAATTTTTGAGGAAACTTCATACTATTTTCCATAGCTATTTTACAACTTTAAAATCCCACAATGGTGCAGAGAGGTTTCAAATTCTTCACATCTTCACCAACACTTGTCATTTTCTATCATTCTGATAATAATCATTCTAACTGCTGTAAAGTGGTATCTCATGGCTTAGATTTGGATTTCAGGGGTGCCCGAGTGGTTCAGTCGGTTAAGCAGCTGCCTTCGGCTCGGGTCATGATCCCAGGGTCCTGGGATGGAGCCCCGCATCAGGTTCCCTGCTCAGGGGGGAGTCTGCTTCTCCCTCTCCCTCTGTCTGGTGCTCTTCCTACTTGTACTCTCTATCTGTCAAATAAGTAAATTAAATCTTAAAAAAAAAAAAAAAAGATATTTAGATTTGGATTTCAAATCAACGTGATGGGGCGCCTGGGTGACTCAGTTGGTTAAGTGGCTGCCTTCGGCTCAGGTCATGATTCCAGGGTCCTGGGATTGAGCCTTGCATTGGGCTCCCTGCTCAGCGGAGAGCCTGCTATTCTCTCTCCCTCTGCCTGCTGGTCTGCTTACTTGGGCTCTCTTTCTCTCTCTCTCTGTGTGTCAAATAAATAAATAAATAAATAAATAAATAAATAAATAAATAAATGTCTTTTTAAAAAAATCAAAGTGATATTGATCATCTTTGTATATCATCTTTCAGGAAACACCATTTGAAATCCGTGTCCATTTCTGAATTAGGTTGTTTTTTGTTGTTGAGTTGTAAAAGTTTTTATATAGTCTGGATATTATCCCCTAGTGAGATATATAATTTGTAAATTTTTCTCCATTCTGTTCGTTGCCTTTTCACTTTTTTGACCATGTCCTTTGATGCACAGAAGTTTTTAAGTTTGGTGTAGCACAATTTTTCTATTTTTGCTTTTGTTGTCTTTGCTTTTGGTGACAGCTCCAAGAATTATTGCCAAATCCAATGTCATGAACCTTTTCCTCCATGTTTTTTTCTAGGAGTTTTATAGTTTATATTTTTATGTTTAGGTCTTTAATTCTTTTTGAGTTAATTTCTCACATTTAGGGTAAGATAAAAGTCTAAGTTCAGTCTTGTACATGTGAAAATCCAATTTTCCCAGCACTATTTATTAAAGTGACTTTTTAAAAATAATATTTAGGCCTATCACAGCTACAAAACTACATTGCCTATTAATTCTACTATTAGATTTTTTAAATTTAACATACTAATAAAGAAGCATATTACCACATCACATAATTATTTTTAAGTATGTTGATAAGTGTATTTCAGTATAATTAATTTTCCTTGTAATCCTTTAAAATTTATTTAATGGATTTATTTATTTTTATGCATTTATGATATAAAATATTTATTTGTGCTTATTTATTAATTTTAAATTATTATAAGAAGGAAGCTATTGGTTTCACCAGACAGCACAGGGTTTGTGGACTCAAAAGTTATTAAGAATTCAGAGATGATTTCAGTAACTCAGACAATGGATGAAGACTTGAGTTACAGCTATGGCAATGTTAAGAAATATGTAAAATCAAGAAAAAGGCAAATTCAGTATGATTTAATGATTAAACAAATGCCACGAACCAAGAAGAAGGTGAAGTCTATGGTGACCACAAGGTTTTTAACTTTGGCAACTGATTGGGTGACTGTAGTTCTGGAAGTCCTCACTGTAGAAGCTGCACTTAAAACCCTGAGGGAAGGGGTGCCTGAGTGTCTCAGTTGGTTAATGGTTTGACTCTTGATCTCAGTTCAGGTATGGATCTCAGGGTCGTGAGTTCGAGCCCTGCACTGAGCTTCGTGCTGGGCATGGAGCCTACTTAAAACCATGAGGGTACCTGTTATCACCCACGGGGAGAAGGTAAAGGAAAAAACTCAGTCAGAGTGATACCAGAATTCAAAGACCAGAGAATTCATTATTTTCAGTTTTGGTGTCATGTAGTATATTTAAAGGATAAAACTTCAGTAAGCAATTGGTGGTTAATTTGTAAAGGACCAATTGTTACGACTCTACTCTGCATTTATAATTTTTGCACCTGCAATTATTTGCATGCAAAACAAATGCAGCTACAGTTGCCTAATTATAGGCACAACCATCCAAAATTGCTCACAAATAATAGCACAAAGAGATGCCATCTGTGAAAGTGCAGCAACCCCCCAGACCTTTCCTATTCCACATCCGATAAGGCTTCCCTTCGGCTTCTGTCTTGGGCTTCATTCTTGCCTGGTCTCATTCAGGCATTAAAGGCTGGTCATTCTAATAAGCTAAGTCAGTCGCCCTTTCCTCGTATGCAGCCACTATAATCCACGTCCCCAAATATAAAATAAACCATAGTATGGGCAGACTGAAAATGGAAGCCAATTCTGAAGCACATCATTTGTCTTGTTAGTGTGAACAGATTCAATGTTTTATTCACATGTAATTTTACAAGGTAGGCAACTTGAATGCTGTAAAGACAAAATCTCATACAAATTTCTGCTCAAAGGTGACAAGAAAATTATCTTACTCTACTTTAAAAAATTTAGCCATTTATTAAAAACACAGCTGTCAGTTTGGATCAAATACATTCATATTTCCCCATTACATTATTAGGGCCATCATGAAATTTAATAATTGTCCCTGGGAGTTTGATTTCCTACAAAAGTGTCATAACACAATCAGCACTATTGCAAATAATTATTGAACTGTGTGAAGACATTTATGATTTCAGGCAGGAAATATATAATAACAGATGAGAAATATAAAACCAAGGTTAACACTTGATAAGGATTCTGTTCTCATACAAATGTCAGTAGTAATAAATGTGGGGACCACATAGCCTGCTTTATTAAAGTGAAACAGGTTCCAGGCAGAATAATTTTCTAAAATTTTAATTATATAGTTCAAATTTTACTTGCTTATCACTTAATCATATTAAACACTCTGAATCTGATAAATCCTCTGTAATAGAAACAATACACTTGAAGCATGAGAAATTGGGTAGTTTATTAGGCTAATGACTAAAACCAGAATGTAACATATAACTCTTCTATGAAATCTCTAATTCTCCATTCTATTTATACTGTTTGGAATTGTCATGAAGTATTACCATAAAGGTTTCAGGGGCAAATGGAGGCTTAGGAGTTTTACAGTGTTCACCAGTTTTGTTTTGTTTTGTTTTGTTTTGTTTAATTTAAAACATTATAGTGAATAGGAAGGTTTAATTTTGTCCTACCACATTTTTCCCAGTGGTACATGGGTCACAAAGAACTGAAGCAGTAGTTAGACACCAGTCTTAAGTTTATGGACAATTGGGCAGATGTTTAAATATTTAGACATTGGAATGCTTAGACATTAGAAATATAGTAAAGTTTTTAGAGTTAGCAAAAGAAGTCATGTTAAGGAAATGAGAATTTATAAAAGGGAAGTTATCATTCCAAAAGGAGAGCTAATTAGAAGATTCTTCTCTTATATATATCTGAACATTTTAATGGCTGCAATCAAAATTCAAAATATTATTAGTGGCATGATAAACATAAGCTGTTTGTCTTCACAAGAAGCAGAAGAACATTTTGAGACATTAAGAAAGATAATGTTACTCACATCCTGCGCTACCATTTGTTGACACCAGAGTCAGGTTGGAAGGCCATGGATTCCGAACAATATCTTGCCAATGAATTGTGTCTGTGTAACAAAGAAATTTGTTCTGGTCTACATACACTCCACCATTAAGGATTTCTGTATTAAAACAAACAAACAGAGATTTCTTGTCAAACTTTTCATTGATGAAAAGGTAGTCAGTAAAAGTGATTTATTCTTAAAGTGTTTTCAATGTTAAATTAGAGTCACATTGTTAATAGCCAAGGCACCTTTTATAATATCACTTAGTGAGTCATATAAATTAATTGTAGAAATTGGGAAAGATTGAAAAATATAAAGAAATACAATCACTCATAATATAAATACCCAGAGAAACACTCTTCATATTTGGTATAGAAGTTTTCAGTCTCTTTCCTTTTTTTTTTTTTACTCTGAAATTGGAATAACATTGAATATAATATTTCATAACCTGCTAGTTTTAATATTAGGTGGTGAGTAATGATAATTAAATATTATTCTACATTATTTTTAATGAAACTACAATATGCTACAGTATAAATTAAATAATATTTATTTAACCAGTTCCCTCTTATTGGTCATTTAACTTGTTTATCTCTCTTAAAAAGATTATTAGTCCATGTGACATTGACTGGAGTTAGTAGGAAGTAATTAAAACAAAATGAAAACTAAAATTAATGTTTCAATTACGAAGAAATGTTCTTTGATCCTCTCAAATGGAATCAATAGAATTGCCAATTATTCTTTATGAACAACAGAAAACTATAAATAAAAACCCAATGGTTCATTGCAACAATGGCAGGACCATGGGACAAAATACACTAAAGCCAATTTTTACTTGATTCTCTACTTCACACTGGCCTTGATCAGCTAAGTTGTTCAGTGCCTGATAGTCTATATAATTCTCTTGCAGATTGCTCTAAGTTATCTTGGGTGGGGGGATATATTCCCTCCAAAAGTACTATTATTTTTTTTTTTGAAAATACCATTCTTACTACTTGAAGAAATTGGTTAGAAATACTCATAGCAACTTCCTGCTCAGTATCTACCACATTTTCCCCTTCTATACAATACAAAAACAACTTAAGAGAAATTAAATTTCAGTCCATAATAGCTTGTTACAAGTAACAAAAACAGTTAACAGTAATTTATATAGATAGAGGATGATTTTTCTCACACAGGAAACCTATAGGAGGTAGTAGTGTCCATAGAACCCACATCTGTTTTGCGTGTTGGTTTTATTCATTACAGACACAAGAAGGTTGATGTATCTAAAAGTGTCTTTCCGAAGTCAAGGCAAGCTGAAACCAGAAGAGCAAGCAAGAGACATCTTCCTACTGAGGCTCTGACTTTCTATTTGGAAAGAGATGTTCTCCCCAAGGATTATATAGGCATTTTCTTGGCCAGAACGGTATCCCAGGAGCATTTGTACTATAAGAGAGGCTGAGTAGACAAATTGCTACTTGAACAAAACTTAAACAACCAAGACTGTTAGTGAGGAAGAAGAGGAACATGAATAATAAGAAGGCAACTACTTTATTTCCCATGATGTCCTCAAAAAAATAATCTCTTGTGCAGTATCCAAAGCTAAACTTTTAAGAGTCACCTTAAACCAAGGAGAGAGATAAAAGAATGAAAGGAACACATGACACCATAAGAGGAGTATTTGTGGAAGAGAGATAGGCACATCTCAATTGCCTTATTGCCTTGTGTGTAAAATGCACCAGATTAATTTTGACATCGCAGGGTTTTCCACATTTTAAAATCACTCCTGTTCTCATCATCAGTCCTTTCACTGACTATTGGTTACATTTTCTCAGGTGAGGAAAGAAAAAAACAGAAACAAAAAGAAATTAGATCGGGACGCCTGGGTGGCTCAGTTGGTTAAGCAGCTGCCTTCGGCTCAGGTCATGATCCCAGTGTCCTGGGATCGAGTCCCACATCGGGCTCCTTGCTCAGCAGGGAGCCTGCTTCTCCCTCTGCCTCTGCCTGCCATTCTGTCTGCCTGTGCTTGCTCTCTCTCCCTCTCTCTCTCTCTGACAAATAAATAAATAAAATCTTTAAAAAAAAAAAAAAGAAATTAGATCATCTTTCTACTTCTAAAACCCAGTTCATTATTTTTCATGACCTAACCATACAATCTTCAGCAAAGCAGAAAGGAGATATAAGACATAAGAAAGATTGTGAAAATGGATTTCTACATTAATGTTTGGCATTAAAGTTTCTATCTATGAAATGTGACCATCTCATACTAATAGCTTTCTCATGAGACATTAGGTGATGCTCTTCTGCTCTAGGAATAATTCTTCATTAGGTGGCAAGAAAGGAGATTTTGACTGCTATCCAGGAAATGAAGGTTATTTTTCAGTCTACATTTGGAAAAGTTCTACTTTAAAAAAAATGTGAGAAGAAAACATAATAGCTCAAATATTGTCGAAAGAGTATATTTTTCAGGACTCGCATTGTAATTCAAATAGTTCATATTGAAGGAACACAGTATCCATCTCTAACTTCCTATCTAAAAATATTCAAATGGAATCAGATTATATTACACTGAATAATAATCTCATCAAATCCCTTCAACAATATTAATCTGCTACCAATGTTGACATTTGTTTCTCAGAAATATTCTGTTCAAGAGCTTCATTTATACTTGGAAAAGGATTTAGAAAGGAGGCAGTAAAAATTCCAGTATAATCTTACATGTTAAAATTTCAAATTAAGACTACAATCATGATCAGTTTGGATAACACCCTAAATTCAAAGCCAGCATCTGCTAGCAATCCTGATCAGGAAGATTTATAAACTTCTAGTATTTAATGATGGATTTATAAGGCACATTTAATCTATTTGTGTATGTGTCTATTTTCCCTGAAAATAGTCCTTTCCTTTGTATTTGACCTAGATTGTACTCCGATGGTGAATGTCAAACACTATAATCAGAAAATGTGCAATTTATTGACATTTATAGAGGAGTTTCAACATATACTTTACCTTACATTTATTTATCAATTTGGTTACCTAAATATAGGTAAGGAAATGTTAATACTGTACTTATTCTTTGGTGTAGTTTACATTGATCTTATAGCTTTATGCAATTTTTTGAGAGTTGATAACTTTATGCAAATCTTTTTTTTTTTTTTTTTTTTTTTTTTTGAGAGCATGCATATAGGGGTAGGGTGAGTGGAGATGGAGAGAAAATCCTAAACATGCTCCATGCTCCACACACAGCTAAATCTCTGGATCCTCAGATCATGACCTAAGTGGAAACCTGAGCCACTCAGGTGCTCCTATACAAATTTGTAAACATTAATTTAATATGATTTGTGGTGAAATATTCAGTTAGATCTATTTTTAAACTGAGAAAATTCTAGAGAAATATATTGACCTATAAGAAAGTTGTTAGAGACACAGATTATTTCCTGGACAAAATGGATTTCTAATGTTTTTGACTATTACAGCTTGGCTGCATTTTTAGTTTAGAAAGAAGGATAAGGATTAGAAAAAGAGAAATGCTTGGGAAGATATTTATCCAAGAAGATATCAGGAAAATGTCTGGTTATACTTTAGATCTATCTTTACCAAGAAACAAGAACAGTAGAGTTGTCACAAGTTCTATTAAAGGCTTACTGGATCTGTGTTACACCAAGAGAGTTTCCCTTCCAGTGATTAATAATTAAATTTTTAAACCATGGCCAAAATAAAAGGATTTCTAATTCTAGGTAATATAGAAAACAAGCACAAGTGTAACTGACATTCAGATAAAGATGCCCAAAGCCTAGAAAAGTGAAAGGATTTAAAGAATAAGTAAATGACCTCAGGGTAATCCCATCCATTGTATTTCACATCCACTGTAGGAAATATATCAGAGAAAGACACGTAGAAACACATGTAGATAAGAGAAACACATGTAGATTCTTGGTCATTGTAATAATTGGTAGAAAAAAACTGATATGAATTTTTTTTATTACATTATATTAAAAAATTCCAGGTAAGTTCACAAAACAGAATTGTCTTTTTTGATAAATTTCACAATTAAATATGGTAAGATATATGAGATATGATATTCTATGAAAAATATTTAATTATTTAAAAATTCTGCCAAACACTTAAGTAGGTTTGAGTATCAAACATTTCCTATTAGATTAATGCATACAAGTCGAGTAAAAAATATGAATCCTTCTGTATGTAGAGTAAGTAAATTGTAATCCATACTACTTTCCCATATATCACATTTAACATATATAGCACACAGTTTATAACAGAAATACTAGATTAAACTCTATGAAGGCAAGGAATATTTTTCAGTTCTGTATCTATATCAAACCTGAAGCAACAGCTAATCAACAAATATTTGTTAAATCAAACTTAAAACACAAAAGTAACATGGAATTTGGCACCACCATTAATCAATTAACTTCTGTTCTATCTTTTAATTTTGAATTCCGACCAAATCAAAGTAAGAACAAAAGTTGTTTTTTGCCTTAAATGCTCTATAGTATCTGAACTGGTTCTATATTTCACTATGTCAGAGGTCATTTCTGTTTTGGTCAAAACTATATCCCCAGTGTCTGGCATTATGCAAGGCAGAAGCTATTACCACAATAAATATTTGTTCTATGATATCAAATGTAATAGCCTGATTATAGAAAAATATATTTGAGTTGACCAATACATATATATTTTGAGTACATGAAAAATATTTTAAAATATATAATTTTGAAGTGGAGTTTTTATAAGCTGAAAGATAAATAGCTTTTATTATATAAAATGCTCACAATTGATAATGTACAAAATTACTGCAAGCAGTATGTTGGATATTTATAAGTCACATTTAGACATTTTCATCAGTATCCCTAAACCTATCTTGTGCATCAAATTCAGTATTATTTTCCATGTGAATAATGATGATTTTGAGCTATCCTGGACACAACAAATTTCCTCAAACCTGTGCAAATTACCTAGCATATTTTACATAAAGTCTAAGAGCATGTTTTTTACATTGAATTATAAATCTACCTCATATTGTTCCTTAAACTATTTTCTAGAACAGTGTAAAGTGCCAATATGACATTTAAAAGAGGACATAAAGTATTTGTGTCTTAGTCTTCCAATCCACA